TGCTTTCAGCACTCCTCGGTTGCGCTGTAGACTTCCCTTCGAAATTTGGTGAGTGGGGGTAAGGTTGAGATGGACTAATGCTTGTCGTACCCGTAGGGGTGTTCGTCTTTTTCCATCTTGCTTTCACAAGTGTGTGCACTCTACAGGGCTGTGTGGCGAAAGCGTTCGTCTTTTTCCATCTTGCTTTCACAAGTGCGTGCACTCTACGGTGCTGTGTGGCGAAAGGGGGGCACACTGTCGAATGGAGGCTGTCGAATTTGTTCTGACAGCTGTCGAGTTTTTTTGACTTTCGGCAGTGGTGTGGCGAGGCCGTAAATCTAGAAAGCTATGCTTGCAGGGGTCCCCTGTATAGCCTTAGGAGTAGTGGTAGGTTCTGAAAAAAGAAAGATATGTTCGATGACATGGCAGAACGCCAGTTAAAAAAGATATGTGAGGTGAGAGAAAAATATATGGCTGTATCCCGACGATAAGGAGAAGGCAGCAAAAAAAAAAAAAAAAAAAAGACAGAATCTAAAAAGCAAAAGAAAACAAAAAGAGAAAAGAAAACTTCAGGACGGCCTTTCAGGTCTTTTTCATTGTCATTATAGTATTACTCGGAACCCCGTAGCAGCCACATCCGTGTTCAAGCCTCCAACGAGGGAACATGCGGGAGCTGCACGCACCAGCAGGTGGGCGATACCGGCCGGCCAGGGGTCAGCCGGACGGTAGCATCAGGACCGAGCTTCTTTGATGGGCCAGTCACTGTGCCTCCCCTCCGGTCCCCTACCCCTATGAGCATCAGCAGTCTCTGCCCAATGCCACTCGGGGGGACCTGCAGCATATCTCCAGGGTGGAGGGCGCCAAGCTTGCCCACGAAGGTACATGAGGCCCATGGGGACTGAACCCAACACCTCCTGAATCCCACTTGCATGCCGTACCAACTGAGCTAGGCCGCTCGTTGCAGTCAGAATCTTGAAAGCAGAAGAAAGAAAGAAAAAAAAAAAAAAAACTGCTTGCTCCCTAAAAATGTATTGGTTGGATACATTCCCTATATGTGTTGGTCCCTGTGTACCCTCAGCTTGTTTGTTGGAGTGTACAAGGGGATACACCCTGCCGCGCTGGCAGGGGAAAAAAACAAACGAAAAAAAAAAAAAAAAAAAAAAAAAAAAAAGGAAACAAGAACGTTATGCATCTCTTCGATATTGTGGCACGCCATTCATTCTTCCAAGTACGTACGGGAGCACGGCCTGCAGGACACCCTCCACGACTTTCGGGAGTCCAAAAAACGTGGATCTGTTTTTTCTTCTACTTTTTTCAATCGTTCTACACACATTTTTGTTGCGACCGGCCCTCCATAGTAACGACCTCCGTTCGACGCGGCCATTAACTCGCGGCGTCGGAATGAACTTGGCTGGCCGAGGGACTGGTGTTTTTTAAGGGGATGCATGTTGCCCTTCCCCCCCTTGCCCTAGTCTCCCGTGGGAGGGGGGGTGGCTAGCGCAAAGACAGCATGTTGCCAGTATCTGTCTCTTCATTTTACCTTTCACTACCTACCTACCTACCTACCTACCACTACTCCTAAGACTAATATACAGGGGACCCCTGCAAGCATATAGCTACCTCTCACATTCTTTGTGTTGTTCTCGATTTACGTGTGTCTCATCCTTCCAAGGGAGCCGTGCTAATCTTCTGTTCACTGTATCGTTCCAAAATTTAACGGATGTCTTGAAGGTAGGGAAAATATTTTGTAAAATTGTATTATGTCTTTTATAATTTATATTATATTAATTTATTTTATTTATATATATTTTTTGGAATTTTTGGTATTCCGCAAGGACGAATGAATGTTTCATTCCGTTGTATATAGTGCCATCATGGATGCTGTGCTAGGTTGTTTGTCGGGGCGCCCAGGCACCTAACGTGTGGGCGGATGCCTGGTCGGGCACGAACCCTGGGCAGCGTTGCGGGCAGTCTGAGCGCCAAAAAACAAACAAAAACTAAAATATCCAGAAAAAAACTATGTTTTGTAGAATTGCAATACAGACGACTTTTGGCTGAGGGTCACATCAGAATTTCTCAGGTAATCTGAAGAGAGAGAGAGCGAGAGAGCGAGCAAGCAAGAGAGAGAGAGAGAGAGAGAGAGAGAGAGAGAGAGAGAGAGAACACTGGGTAAGGGTTTCCTGATAGATCTTGTTCTTATTTTGGGTACTCTTTTTGTTTTGTTTTGATTTGTTTTTTAGGTTACTATTGCTAGTACTGCTTCTAATTAGAGCTCCTTTTGTTGCACTTTTCGTCTTTAGGTTGGAAGACACACACACACACACACACACACACACACACACACACACACACACACACAGAGAGAGAGAGAGAGAGAGAGAGAGAGAGAGAGAGAGAGAGAGAGAGAGAGAGAGCTTTTCTTCGGTAGTTTCTTTTTGTGCATGGGATTTGTGGTGTGTTGCGGTCCAGTGTTTGGGCTTGACCGGTGATGTCTCGCCCTTAAACAGTTTTGACAGCGGAACTTTCTGTAAGGGACGCCGGGCCCGATTCCTGGCACTAAAAAAATAAAAATAAGAAAAGTCTCAGGGAATCAAATATAAAAAAGAAACCAACAAAATCAGAGTAAGGGACCCCCCTTTTAACCCCTTTAGCCCCTTGAAAACGAATTTATAACCCCTCCTCCTCCCCCCCCCTCCCTTAACGCTGGAAAACCCTCTGCGCATGAGCAGAAAACCCTCGTCTGGAAAGGGCTCCTCTGGCCATGAGCAGAAAACCCTCGTCTAAAAAGAGAGGAGGAAAAAAAGGAAACAAGGGCTGAACTTCGCCTGCACAGGGTGCCCCATGCAGCGGACCCCCGGGTGGGGACTTGCCCAGGTTTCACGGCTGGGCAACAAGCCAAGTAGCCTAGGTGCTGTGCCTTCTTTTTTTTTTTTTTTTTTTTTTTTGCATGTGTGCTGTTCTTGTTTCAAAAAACAGGTGAAAACCGAAAAACATGATCGCCAAAAGTTCGAGGGTTTCTGAGTGCAGTCAATCTACACGCAGTGAATCGGTCCCTGAGGAAACCCGGAAAGGCGGCGCCGATACGTCCTGTGGAATTCCGTCCCAGCAGACACCTTTTTGAAACTAAAAGTTAAGGGGCTCGTTAGACACTCCTCGAGGCGTCCTCGGGCTCCGAAGGAAAATCCTCGGGGCCGCCCGAGGATTTTCCCGCTTTCGTTCCACTCGTCCCTCGGGACGATCCCCGAGGATGCTCCAAGGACTGGCCGCGGGGAGTCATATAATGTTATACGCGGCCGCGGGACGACTGTTTGGGCGGCGGTCCATCGTCTGGTGTCCGTGTGGCCGGCCTTGGTCCATCGCGTGTGGGCGTCGAATTTGAAAAGGGACTGGCGGCGCCGTGGGAAAAGGAAAATCCCGCGCGTGCGCGTGTGGTTTTGAAATTTGAAATTTGAATGGGCCGAGCATGGCCTCTGGAGATGCGTGCGTGGGACGACCCCGTCGGGGAAGCGCAGGGGTGATGCAGTGGCCGTCATGCGGATGAGCTCCTAGCCGTTTGGGCGTCAACACAAACTTCCACACGTATTACAAGAAGTGACGCACCCTGCCTACGACGACTGCAGCGAGCGCCGTGTTCCGCCTTGCGTGTTCGTGTTCGCACATTTTGTCGCAACCGCCATCTCCGTCAACTTCTTCGTCGTCCGCGTCCATTGGCGGCGGCCTTGTGTCGTGGTTTCGGCATCTTCTGTCGGCGTGGGTGAGCGCGATGTCTTCCGTAGTCGATGTGCGTTCGGTCGGTGATGGGGATGAGGTCGGGGCTAGGTTGTCCGTTTTGGAGAGGGCTGCAGTGACGGCCGCCGTCAACGCCGTCATCATGCGTTGCGAGATGGAGGGCGCAGGTGAACGACTGAGGGCACAGCTACGCGCGCGAAGAAGGAAGTTGATGCAGTCGCCAGCCTGTGAAGGGTTCGATAGCGTCGCCATATGTGACGCCGTGATGGAGGTATGTTGTGCCCTGGGGTGTGGGGGACTGCCGACGGCGACCCCGAGGTGGTGGATGAAACGGAGGACGGGGGGGACTTGGGAGGATCTTCGCCCTACAGACGACGCCACTGAGGAGGGTGCGCTGTCACCCGCCCGGTTGACAGTGAACATCCTACCGGGCGACTGAAGGGAATGGCAGAGGGATCACGCCATTCGCAACCCGTTTTCCCACACTCCCAAGGCGGGTATGAGGCATCCCCTGAATGAGACCCCCAACAAACGCCCACCCCCGCCGCGAAATGACGATACACCGCCTAAAAAAGCCCTTCACACCCCCGCTGGCCGTGTCATGGAAGTTTGGTACGGACGACTGACCAGCAAAAAAAAAGGGAAGTCCTGAATTGGAATTCAATGTCGAATGTGGACACCATTTCAAGGGAGATATGAAATGGCAACACATAAATAGCAATGACCATAAAAGAAATGCTCATTCAATAGGATGCAACAAAAAACAAAAGGTGGAAGCACGAAACATCTATTCGCTGTAAGAAAGCAAGTATCATGCAATAATCAGAGTACAAAAAACATTGACAGCATAACAGCCGAGCATATTGGAAATCGAAGTAATGAGCATCTCTCTCTCTCTCTCTCTCTCTCTCTCTCTCTCTCTCTCTCTCTCTCTCTCTCT